AATGTCAATATACTAAAGTAGCAACACTATAATAAAGTTTTGAGAAACATTTAAAATCATAAGGATATATAAACGAGTTATATATATACATATCATGGACTCACACAGTGAAGCAATGATCCATTCTTTCACTTCTATCATTGCCAAATCACACATGGTACTAAACACGTGCTACGGGGTTTTTTCCTTTTAATAGGGCATACATATAAATTAGTACACTGAACATATCTTAGTTCACGCATTTCTCGATGTATAACTTGAGTTATCCTTATATTTATTCCTCTATGCATTCTCAATCGAGAACTCAATTGACAGTTAAACAAGTCTAATGAACAGCATAATTCATTTTGATTGTTCATTGTAATCGCAAATTGATTATTCATCAAGGTGATTTGATCACATACACAACATAATCACTCTACCTCATCTTAGCACATCCCAAAATGTTTGAGGTTATTGCTCGTGTGAGTGAGTTAATCTCTACATGTTCAACATACTTTTTATGTGTGCATGCAAATTAATCATCAGCAATCACGAAAAACAAGAAGGAAAAGAAGAACTTTATATATGAACTCAAAAAGATTTGTTCATCAATGGACCTTTAGGAGTTCACGAGATGCGTAATTAGCCTGTTTGATGGTCATTATTTGGCTAAAATAATGTTTTGAATAGTGATTTCAAGAGTGTGTGTGGTTAAAAAGTGGGTTTAAGGTGTGTCATGTGTCACGAAAACATGTTTAGAGATCGATTTATTGAGTACATGAACTACCAAATGATTCGTAGAAATGTACTACAAAGTCACTTCTTTATTTGCTATGATATCTCATACAAATTTATAATGATTTTGTATCAATGTATTTGGTTCTGCTATTATACTTACGTTCCTTATATATGCAATAATAGCTTGATTATCACAATAAATCAACGTTCGGTTATGATTCAAGCTAGTTAAAAGCTATTTTTAACTATTTTTGCATATAATATTAACTTACACTTTTTGCCCACGAGATTATTCAATGAATTCTGTAGTTCGTGTCATCATATTTATCCCATTTTTAGCCATTGGGAAAAAAAGTTAAGAGGGCGAATCTCAAAGGATCACTAGAAATTCAGACTTTCCATTTTCATCAAATTTCAAATATGATATCCCTTAATATATTTTTAGCACGTAGCCACCACTTTTCATTTGAATTTACAACGAGCTAATACATAAAAATAAGTGATCAACTCTCATAGAGAAAGTCAATAAATATTCAGTCTCTTGTGGTAACTTTACTAAACTTGTGCGAGTGCACGTTACAAAAGTTAATTGTTGCAAAATTTTAGCAAAATGTTTCGCGTCAATAACCTTATATAGTATTAAGTAACTTTTGATCAACTCCCCGAATTAACCTTATGAAATTTATCTTATTTTTCATATAATATATATTTTTTTGATAACCGTGGATGTCCGGGCTAGCTTGTAAGCACTTCGACTAATTCCACAGGACCCTGAAATTTACGGTCGGATACTCACTTCAGTGGCACTGAGAGGGTTCGAACTGATGACCATTGGGAAGCAAACTCAATGTCTGACCAACTGAACAATCCCTCAAAGTTTCATATAATATTTACAATTAACATATCTTGAATAGGTCGTATCGAATAAGTCTATGTTTATCCTTCTCATCTCTTCCGAAAAATAAATCTTTGATTGACTATTGCGCCAAACGCATAAATATTTAATGTAAAAATTAAATCTAAGCAGGGAGCAACGTAAAATTAAATAAGAATAAAAGATATTAAACAAAAAAAAACATGAAATTAATCGTCTATCTTTTATTCGGGATATTATTTAAAAAGAAAAAAAAAAAGAAGAAGTTTATATTTCACAGAGACAGATAAAAATTCAATCAAACAGATCAAAACAAAACCTAGAAGCATGCGCAGGAATGAAATCAAGGTTTGTGAGTGGTTTTATGGTATTTTTGTTTGATCCATTGCAGGCCAACAGAGGTTCCTTCTTTAACCTTCTTCACGCCAGTAGAAGCCACTGCTTTCGTTTTTCCCAGGCCTTCTCCGACCTTCTTTCCGTACTTGGCCGCCATACCGCCGCTGTCGGTGCTCTTCTTTTTCTCCGGTAAGCGGTCAGGCCCATTGTCCCATTGATCAGCCCATGAGTCGCCGTTCATCTTTGAACGAGATTAGAATTGTAGAGAGAGATTTGCTGGATGGATTCAAGAATTTCGTTGGGGTTTTGGATGAATGCCGATTTAAAAAGTATATGGTCCAACCTAAATATATAT